TGGAGGTAGATTAAAGTCTAGTCTTTCAAATACATTATACAATATATGTGATTTACTTCTCTTTGTCTTTAAACTTGACACACAAATCCAATCAAGCTGCTTCTTTGGAGGTGACATCAGTCCTGCATTCACCTACAACACTTGTAAAAGATGAACAGAGATTACAGGAGGCAACGGGGTTCTTTCAGTATCGATGGGATTTAGTAGTCTCTTTGGGAAAATGAGCCAATGTGCTTCTGACAAATCTACTGCCATCAAACCGTTCTGTACCATCTGCTGGTCTGCCCTCAGACTTTCCTGTAGCGCTGTTTGCACCTAATCTGCCCTACCTACAGTCTCTTACATAAACTGCTGTTGGCCAACAAGCGCTTCTCAGCCCAGTTTTCCACTCGCACGGTCCCAGTGTTCCCAGGAAGAGAGAGATACAAACAGACAGAGGTGTGTGAGTGTGTGTGTCTCTGTGTGTCTCTGTGTGTGTGTGTATGTGAGAAAGACAGCATTGAGTAAATACTGTGAATAGCTCCACCGAGGGGCTCCAGCATATGGTAGCCAGTGCTCATGACGTTAGTGCGGTGCTGGGTACTTGCTGGCGGCCACACAAAGGGCACGAGCATGGCACCCTACATGGGCTCCGTCTCTCACCACATCTACCCTCCCTCCCCTCTCTATACGCTCTCGCTCTCTGTATCTCTGCCTCGCCCTGCCTCATAATCTGTCTCTCCTCTCTTTGCGCCTGTCTGCTCCTCCTGCTCTCCAGAGGGAGCGGGAGGAGAAACGGAGAGAAGGGCAAAGCTGAAAGGATAGGATAATGCCATCAGTTAATATCTAGTCTCCGCTCCGACTGACAGCTGCATTCTGTCAAGTGTGCTGCTATTTCTGTGGCGAGGAATGGAGCACACAGTTTATTACTGCAGCATGAAGTTCTGCTCTGATGCAGTGCGAGTGGGTGACGCCAGCAGATACCTAAAGATAATGAGATAATGCTTTACTTTAAGTCCCCCTATTTATTATTCATAAGCTTTTTAGTAAATAGTTGTAAGCAGCTATAAGGATGTTTTTAAGTGTTAATTAATGTATGGTATTTGCCAGCATTTAATTCATTGATTTGTTGTTTTTTTTGCTAGTATATAAAATGTCAGAAAATGACTATATTTGTTAATATTTGTCAGTTTTGTCTGTTAAATTACTTAAATTATTGCCCAATTATCAAAATAACTCAACTAAACAATTAATCAACTGATCATTCCAGCTTTAATAGACACAGATTAGTTAGCACCATGAAAATGACTAAACAGGAGACAAGCCTGCATTAATGGTGTTTGACTGGACTGCATTAGGAGCTAATGATGCTCAAGCTACTTGTTCTGTTATGATGACACTCTTCATTTCAGATGTTTTTTTTTAGTGCAAAATTATTGATTTGTAAAGAAGCTCGAGCTCTGAGGGACTGACATAAAAAAACAACAAAACAAAAAAGCTGTCTCCTCATTTTTAGATTGTGGTTTTCTTGTTTTGTTATTAAACTTTCTGTGATGACTCATGGTCATGTTCGGCTCATCTGTGGCCCATTGATGATGGTGATTAGATCTAATATCTTGGGTCTCCACTCACATGTACTTTAGTGCATTTGATATACTACTAATTTAATTTAATTTTTGTATTATTTTGAAAATAATCTTAAATTTCATGGTTTGCTCTGGCATTGCCTTTGGTATTATTGATATGGGCGTAGACTGTATGGTGCTATAGTTGTGATTTTTTCCTCTGTGAATTTTCCTTAAGCCTCTCCTTATGTAAGTGGATGTCGCACTGTGCTGGATTGGGTCTCCGGGACTGTGTTGTGTGGTTATGGATTAGCTGACTCCAGGCTTACTGTTACAGTATATGGAGGGGACATGTGCTCCTCCTCTTACCACATGCTGTTTCTGGAAACAGGAGTGGCATATGTGGCACCCTCTGTTGGTATAATCCTGGCCAGTACATCCCTCAGAGTTGATCATCTGCAGAGTAGATAATGTTCAGCAGTGACTGAGACAGATATTTTACTGCTCTTGTATCTCTTGTTCTCTTTTGGTCTCTCTCCCCTGATGCTATCAGCATTTGTCGGTGTACACCTCTTTCATTCTTCTTTTTCCTGTACCCTCACTCGCTCTCTCCTTCTCCGTGAGCCTCTTCTCTCTCCTCCTGAGTCTCAATGTAATATTCATGATGGCATTGAATTGAGCCAAAGGCATCCAAGAGACACCCAGAAGGATCTGGAAATGCTTTTGTTACCTTTGCAATAAATGCATCACGAGGGAGAGAGAATCGTAATGTGTGTTGACTTGCAGAATATCAAATGTTATTTGGTCTTCTATGGCACTCCCCCTGTTCAGTGAAGGTTGTTACATGAGCCTCCATAATATTCATAGCATTTATACAGCTAGGAGAAACACAGTTTGTACAAATTCATTCTTATTCCAAGGTGAAAAAGCTATATTCATATCAATGCACCACTATTTGTGATTGCTCATTTCTTTTCCCAAACCCCCAATGGAGGAGCAACCAAAAAACACATTGACAGCTTACCCCCTGGGTCACCAAATAACATGACAGCTGACTGATGGCTTCAGCTAATCAGCACCATCTCAGGCTGGACTGCTCTATCAAAAAATCAGGGCTATCACAGTGTTCAAGCCAAGGACATACAGAGGCAGCTTTGTCTCTTTCTTTCTGCACTGACTGCATCAAACTCCCCCTCAGAATTATGAGCAAAACTATTGTTCTTGTGTTAATTGTTTGTCAAACACCTTGTGTTGCTGAACAAACAAGAAAAGAAAGAAAGAAAAAGTCAGTAGATGTCGGGGAAAAAAACACAACAACTGTCTTTTTTATGCGAGCCTGATTTGCCCTGAACCACTTTACAGAAAGTATTGAAAGGTGGTTTATAGATGCATTGTCAAGACAGGGCCTGCTCTGTGGCCTCTGCAGCTACAGTCAGCTTCTGTATTCGTCAGTGTGTCGTTGACAGGGACATCAGAGACTTGTTAGCAAGAGGTGGACAGGCAGACAGATTGTGGAGGTTTGGCTTCATGTGACGCAGGTAGAAGCGGACCTGTTCACTGTCAGCTCACTATTCACAATGTGCAGTAGGTCCTCGGCGACATTCACTCACGAGCTGAATCGTGTACTAGACTCAAGAGGACGTTTGACAGACTGCGATGCTATACTGCATATAGAGCTCGTGTGGGCTGAGTGACATATGCAGGACCGAGTGAGGTCCTATCGCGGCCTGTCACGGCCAAGTTAAATCTTGCTTGAGCGAAAAAGGCTCGTTGCTTCATTGTGTGGCTCTGCCTAGAGACTGCAAGAGACGCGGTCTCTATACTTTCATGACACCAACCAGGGCTGTACGACTGTAATGTTGACACTAGAGTATATGACAATGATTTCTGTTGCTTAAATACCTGTTGTTTGCACATTTATATTTATTTATAATATATAGTCGAGGAATATCTTCTGTTGTAAAAGGCTGTCTGAAGTAGAATAGGTCATTGCAGTACTCCTCCATCCGGGTAGCTGAGTCTGAACAAGCACCTGAGTCCTTGCTCCCTGAAACACTGTGTGCATATGAATTTGTTATGACAGTTGGAGACATGGGGGAAGGTAGAAGAGGAGTCTTGGGGATGCTCTGCTCTGTTGGGTATGCGGTTTGTCTGCAGCACATATTGCTCTGTAATTTCTCTCTTACTCATTGTCTCTCACTGAAACATCTCTCAACACCCGCTAATTTTCAGGACTAGTAAAGACTGCAGCGCGACTGTAACCAAATGCAGTGCGTGTGTGTGTGTTTGTGTGCTTTAATGGATATGTGTGGGCAGCTTGTGTATGCATATTAACCACTGTTACCACTTTTGGTTTTAAGACAGAAAAAAGCTACAAATAAGGCCAATATAAGTTAAATACACATATATCTCTGCTCAAAGGTGTTCATGTAAAAGCAGCATGCAGACATTAAAATGCAGATTACATGGATAACAAACTAGAATAATGTTCAAAATCCTAAATCCTAATACATGAACAAACAGCATTCAGAGAGGAAACATTGCAAGCAAGTGTTTTGGGGATAAAGAAGTGGGTTCGTTTTATTAGTATGTTTTATTATTAATGTGCAATGCACTCTGGATAATTGTGCAGTCAGCTTCCGCTGTTCTGCTGCAGCATCACCTCAGAGGAGAACCTCGCTCAGATTCAAGATGAGAGAGATTTTTACCCCTTGGGCAAAAACTGAGAATGAGGAGTGGTTAGTTAAAAACCAAAGAGGGAGAAAAGGCTGCAAGACTGCATGGTCTCTCATTTTACTTGTGCTCTTCTGCCGCAGCATCACCTCAGAGAAGAATCTCTTTTAAACTGAAGATGAGAGAGATTCAAATCAAAAGATGAGAGAGATTTTACACTTTGGGCAAAAACTGAGAATGAGTTGAAATCTAATATTACCACTTCTTAAAATGCAAGAGGGAGAGAGAAATCCATGCTGTTGTGTAACAAAACAAGTCACAAGTAAGGAAATCCTGGACAGTTTTTCATATGACCAGAGCAGTTACTACATTCTATATCTCTTGCTGCTATTGTGTCTGGCCATGACTGTTGGTGGATGTTTACTGCTGGTTTTACTGCTCTTCCGCAGGCACTCATTGTGTCTAGACACTTATTTCCCATCGAAGGGAAGAAATGAAAATCGATGTGATGAATGCAATAGAAACAGTAAAATATCCACAGAGGAGTGTGTAAAAGGGTGGAGATTTGTAAAGCACTTGAAATGATCATTCTTCTTCTCTCATTTCCCCCCAAAAATCTCATTATCCCTGACCTCATTTATTACTGTGCACTTTTCCTCCCATGCTTTTGTTCTGCTTATACCTTTTGTTCCGTCCTCTCCTCGTCCCACTTTTTCATCCACTATCCTCCCTAATGTTGCCACTTCTCTTTTACTGACTCTTCCCCTCTCTGCCTCCAACTAGGTGTCTGTCTGGTGCTGGGTTGTATGATCTATCCTGATGGCTGGGACAGCGATGAGGTCCGGCGGATGTGCGGAGAGCAGACAGACAAATACAGCCTGGGGGCCTGCTCAGTGCGCTGGGCCTACATCTTGGCTATTATGGGCATCCTGGACGCCCTCATCCTCTCCTTCCTGGCCTTTGTCCTGGGGAACAGGCAGGACGGCCTCATGTCAGAGGAGCTGCTGGCTGAAAGCAAGGGTGAGAATGTACTGTCTAATCTGATAAAATGTGATATTTTATTGATCTTCCTTGGGAAAATTCCCTCTTCACTTGTGCAATATATTGAAAGTCAGAGCCAGCTTCAGAGCAGCACTCTGGGAGCAGGGCTGCTACTTGCCAGCATGTGAACTGAAAACGATTTATCCATTAGCCTACCTTCACTGAATCTATACTGCTAGTTTTATTATTAATTAAGTGAAATTATAAATACTTCTCCACATGTACAGTGAATGCATCTAGAATTGGGCATTGATTTCCTTAAATTTCCAATTATTTTAAATCTTGTATTGGCTTATAAATCTCTGGGTCATTGATGTGGAATTGATCAGTTTTTCTTTGGCTGGGTGGTACCAGGAGATTTACTCTAAAAGTGTGCTCTTGATGCAATTTATGCTGCTATAGTGAGCTGGCAAAAGCGTATACTTAAAGCAAATGAGAGTACTTTAAAGCTTGCTTTAAGCATAGACTCCTGATTTATCACAACGTTCTACCAGACTGAAAATGGAAAGTGCACACCCATTAAGGTCGTGATAAAACATACACTTGTCTGGCAAACAGATTCTGTGGGTTGAATTCATAACAGGATCACAGTCAGCATGCTTACTTGTGTTTATGACAAATCAAAGCCAAAATTTTGATGTAATGAGCTTTTGATGCAGCCTCAATAAAAAATAACATTAAAGCTTCAAATGTGCAATTTGAACATAATTAAGGGGATTTTTTAGATAGTGAGTTTGATATACCAAAAAAAATCAGCAACCAAGTGCACTTATTTTAAGCCCTTAATAATGCTTCCTGTTTCTGATCCTTTTTGATGAACAGTTGTGATCTATTCTGAAAAGAAATTGAACCAAATTTACAGGGACACAAGCCTAGTAAAAAAAAGTTGTTTTGCTTTTTTTCTTTTACTTCTCCATTTTGTATGCAGTGTATTGCATCTGCTGTTAGTGTGATATTAAAATGGTTTACACTACATAGTCACATGGCTTTATGTTTTCAAATGATGTGCATTTCATCAATGAATGAAAGACGACTCAGCCAGATGCCATCGCAAATGATGTGACAAACTCACCTCCATGTTAAGGGGTTTTAATATCCTTAAGATGATATTTTCAGTATTATCTAATCATAACTCATGTTTCTACTCCCTCCTGCACTGTGACTGTACAATGATCCAAAAACAGTAAGAATATCTGGCAGACTCTACCACCATCAGGCCTCACTGCCCCACCAGAGATCTATTATACAGTGAGGGGAAGTGATGGTGTAGTCATAGAAATGTCCATGCATACTGTATGCGATTCTGGATCACTATCGCAGGTGTACACAGTGAGATACTGTGAAAAGGCCTGGGTCCAGGTATGTGTCCCAGTGGGAAATGGGATTAGTATGTCCACGCCATGTAGCCTTTAATGGAACCAGACAGGCATGGGCATCCAGCAACCCACAAAAGAGAAGCGAAGCGACAGAGTGGGAGAAAAAAGGGGCACAGGGGGCTTGGAAAGACTGACTGATGATTCCTCAGTTTGGTGTCACACTCTTATGAGAGAGATGCACATGTAACATCATCATTGTGCCATGTTTAATCATCTGTGGATGTAGCTGGTAACATCATCTACAAAGTAATACAGCCACCTCTAGGAAGTCTAGGGAGGCCCGTACAATTTCTGTACGGGCATCTCCAACCCCAGTGACCTTCAACTGACAAATAAGAGATGAAGAGACAAGGTGAAACATATATGGACAATGTCATAGAAGAGAAAACTTGAATAGGATTATCAGTAGCTTTACTAATCAATAAATGGCCTCATTGTGCAGCCCAATGATATACCAGTCCTTAGTTTTGGGCTCTGGAGAATCTATCATTTATGAATAATTCATTGCAGCTCAATAGTCTTTTACCAATTAGCTCATCCCTGATGCCATCTACTGGTGTTTGTGTGCAGTACAGCCAGTCATTGGGAAGAATGCATGTGTCTGGCAACGTGTGAACATGGGAGTCTATTAATAGCATGACCTTGAGTACCATGTTATAGTACATTAAAATTTTTCTCTGTGGTTCTGTTCTGTTTGTTTGTTTTTTCAGAGGGAGGCAACGCCTAATCAAACCTATATAGTAAGTAAGAACAAAACATACATCTTGAAACATATACATGTTCTGACAGAGCATGACAGTGTCTGTCATTACATAAACCACCATGTGCAACCATGCACAATGTGATTGTTCTTGAATTTTTAACATATTATCATACATATTTAACATTTAATATATTATTATTACTGATGTATTACAGTGTAAGTAGCATTTTAATATTGTAGCTGGTTGAGGTGGAGCCAGTTTTAACAACTTTACACTGTTAGGTGTGTATAAGCATATGAAAGGTTTAGTATGTACATGTTTAATCTATGAAGTACCTACTAATTATAGCTGTCAAGTTAATGTAGTGGAGGAAAAGTACAATATTTCACTCTGTATGTAGTATAAAGTAGCATAATATGGAAATACTCAAGTAAAATACAAGTACCTTGAATCAGTGGTAGAAGATGTACTCAGATCAATTACTAAAGTACTAATACAACTATTTACAATGCATTGTGTATTATAAGTAACAGTCTTGCATTCAAAATCTCAAGTACATACGTTTTATCAGCAGAATGAATAAATTATTGAAAGTAAACATAAAAATCATTATATTTCATTATTAGATTGTTAATACTGATCTATTACTGTGTGAGCAGCATTCTACTGTTGTAGTTGGCCATTTCAGTGGTTCCCAGTCTAGGGGTCAGGCACCCACCAAGAAGGTCACAGGATAAATCTGAGAGATGATTAATGTGGTATAAGACTTTGAATTCATTTCACAGGCTTTTCTCTTATCTTTTGTTTTTTGTGAGATCTTGGTTAGCTTTCCCTCTTTGGGCCACAAACGGTTGTTTTAATTATTACATGTTTAGAGGGGAAATCACTCTTTGGTGGAACTGCTGATAACTCATAAACTGCTTTATTGCAAGGGTCACAAGCCAAAAATGTTGAGAACCACTGGTTTAATCTTCAACAGTGCTTTGTGTTTTAGAAACTGATCATTATATAGCTGTCAAATAAATGTAGTGGAGTAAAAAGAGCATGAAATGAAAGTGCAAATACCTCAAAATTACACATTAGTACAGTACTTGAATACTTAATAACACTCACGTTTTCTTTCTTTCTCTCAGGTTCCTGAATCACCATGTGTCCGTTTCCATAAAGTACCAGCCCCTCAACATCAACTTAAAGGAAGGAGGCAGTCCAGGTCTGTAGAGGAGAGGAATACTATTGAACCAGCCAGCCTGCCTTTTACATCTACCTGCCAAAAACCCAGTGTAACCCTACCCTTGAAGTCCAACCATATTGCTCGCACTCCACACATCATTTCCAACACTTAGATGGAGCCTTGTGCTCTTTTTTCCCCTGTGTGTCTACCAAGTTAACCCTTGCACAGCATTACATAGACCATGGCAGGGGCAGAGACTGTTACTCTATTGAGAAGTATATGGACTACCCACTACCTACCTGAGAGGGCACAGGGTTGACACCTGCAGTACGAGCACAGACATACATATACACATATGCCACCTCACTCATATCCACAACAACAATTCTGTACACAACATTCAGTCCATTCAAACAAAACATTAACAAACTGTAATAACAAATATTAAAATATGTTAACACTTAGCTGTGTGTATCACCTTCAGAATGTGTGTCATGTTTTATTTGTGAAAAGAAGAAACTGCTCAATTTCAGATAATATCGGGTTGCTGTAAATCTGTTGTGTTTCATATGTAAGGTTTGACAATGAAATGAAAGTTTTAGTTTCTTCTTTTGCTCATATGCTCCTTTGTTCCTCTTCATTTACTGGAAAAAAAAAATTTAGACTGTTTTATAAGAATATTATCATCCAAAAGAGAAAAAAACTTGTATTTACAAAGTATGTACAGTGAATATTAAAGATGTTCTAGGAATTTTAACAAAACCCATTCAATGCCCTGCTAGCTAACTTTCCACAGCGCTTCAGTTTGAGAAGAAATATAATATTTTATAGTCTGTGGTATCTACACTGTGATGGGGGCTATTAGGACTGTCTGCTGCAGGACTCGTAGCTGCTGTGCGAGTGTGCTTCTGTATGTGTGTGTGTGCAGGGAGGTCAGTGGCTATATTGGAGTGAGCGTGAGTGCATGCACATACAGTATGTGAATGTCAGTGTGAATGTGTTGTGTGCAATAGTTTGTTGGGCTAGTGAACAAATATGCCAGCCTCACACACAATAGTCCTGTTGTGTAGCTAAATCTGCCTGTCTCAGTCTTTGTCTCCAGCTCTCTCTTTCTGTTTCACTCTCTTTTTCCCTTTCTCCCTTTGTTTTGTTGGGACATACAGGGTAAGATAATGGAGTTGGAGTATTGTGTAAAAAGTGACAGGTGTGCCTGAGGATTGAACTCTAGTGATAATGACAATAAGTAAGGCTTGTCCCAGCCAAGATATGTCCTTATGTAAATAGATATTCTATAGATACCAAACAATTAGAAAATGTGGAGAAGGAGGTTAACTTACTGCAATTTAAGAGATTCCTTTAAGAATATATGAACACTTAATAAAGGTTTTCACTGTAAAACACTGTCGTGATTTTTTTGTTCATTTTCTCAAAAGTTATTACTCATCAAAGGGGCGGTTACAGTTGTCTAATGTCATCTGTGGCTGTGGAGGATGTCAAGTCTGAGAAAACTACAAATTTATAAATTCAAAACAGAAATCCTGCCTTGCAAATTCTGGACGTCAGGTTTGAAAGACGTAGGCATGTAATAGTCAATTTGACCCATACTAAGGACTAAATGTCAGGATATCTCTGCTGCATCGATTGTGACCAGGCATTTCTTAAATCTTAGCTGTCACTTGCAGGTCTCCCATCTTTATGGAAGTGCGTTACTAAATTACTCTAAAGTGCTATTAAAGGTCTCACCATGGCTATTAGGTGGCGCTTTTGACAATTACAACTTTAGTTTGTAATATTGTTAAAAAGGCAGCTGTAAGGGGACATAAATGATGTGCAAATGGAACAGACAATGAGTGGTTTACTCTGGTTTTTGAAGTTAGATTGCAGGAAATAAAATAGGTGCCTCAAAAAAATTGGTCAAAATACACAAAGTATATTCGCCATAATCATGAATATTGAGTTAGTCGGGACAAAACATTAATGATCAACCTTTTCTGAAGAATTTAGTTTTCTAAAGACATCCTACATTCTGTTATGGACTATGGTAAATTCAAGAAAACAGTCCCAGCTCAAGCTCTGCATTTAAACATAATATTCAACCATATAACACAGTTGTCATCGATGGATGGAAATGACTCATTTGTCATGGATAAAATAAGCTCATCCATCTGCTGATGAAGACTGCATTACACAGGTGAAAGTTTCAGGAAAGGCCAGGATGCGGTCCTTGAGTTAGAACTGTTTTGTCAGACTGGTTTTCAAGGTGAGGAATAAGTAAACTTTCATGCTTTCAGGGAGGGGTTAGGCTTTGGTGAACAGATGCATTTGTTGATTATACCATTCTAAATATGATTGTGAAAAATATACAGTAAGTGGACTTATTTAACAATATTACATATGTTAGATACATAACAGATTAGTGCACCACACCGACAATCACTCAAAATGGGTTTTGAGGGATAATGAAAACTTAAGAGTTGAATTTACAATTGTGGATTTGACATATAAAATATAAATTTTTAAGGTATTTATTGATTGAAAAGTAGTAGGATATGAGAAAATTAATTTAAAATGTTCATTTCATTTTCTTTAATTCTTTAATTAAATGCTAACCTTTATTTCCATGAATGCATTAAAAATTCAGAGAAAAAAAAAATAGCTCTGCGGTAGGCCACAACTCTTGACTTCATAATTCCAAGCAACACAAGTAACATGGCTGGTAAGAAAATGCAGTTTCTTTTAGAGACAAAATTGCTATGAGATTAAAAGATTAACCTCTAGCTCACAAGTCACAATAGTCTTTTTATCCAAGTCACAAGTCAAGACCACAACACAGACAAGAATGTTGTGGAGAGAAACATGAGAGAAAACAAGATTTATGCCACTTTAAGCCATTATTGTTCCCATCTGGTGCTATAAGGCATAAAAGCAACATGTCTTTATGGCTCAGATGGCTTTGTCCTCTGGAATAGAAAAGAATCGTTGAAAAGCTGATTACTCTGATTTATAACACTCAGTACTGTCAGCCGTCCAGATCAGCTCTTGGTTTATCCAGAACATTTACAACTGATTGGTTGTGCACGGTTCATTGTCCTCATGGGAGTCCTTTTGGCTATCCAGAGGATGGGAGCAGGAGTAACTTTTGTTTAATTGCATTTCGTTGCAGCTCAATGAGTGAGTGCATAAAATGACAGTAAAATAAATAAATGACAGAGCAGTATTCTGATCTGAGATTTCATTGGTAGGTTAATTGTTTACCCTCTTACGGTAGAAACAGTTATGCAATGTTATGTTTTAAATCATGATTAATGAATTTAGGCTCCACAGGACAAACTCATGGCAGAATCATGACTCATGAATGATACAAACTGGTGCCTGGGAAAATAGTTTGGAAGAAGTTCTGGCACAGATAAATTAAAATTCTAGCCCAGTCTGTGCATGCTCACAGTCCAGAGGAGAGATCTCATCGGGCAAAATACATGAAACCACCTGTGGAGATGGACCATGGGTGTGCAAGGAGCTTTTAATTACTCAACAGTTCAAATTAGCTCCAGCCACAGCTACATGAAAATGATACTGTGTTAACGCAGCTATAATGAATACATTTGATACTTTAAGAATATTTTCCTGATGACAGTTCTGTATAAAGACTGAATGAATAACGAATAAAGGACAAGAATGTACCCATTAAAATGATACCAAACATATTACATGAAAAATCAAGGTCCACTTTAATATGGAAGGTGGTTCATGAGTTCATAACAATTATAGAGTTGCCAACAATGGTTATCACAACTAAAGATTGACCAGAGACATAAAATACATGGAAAGTGTTAGCTAGATTGAGCCTCTGTTCTATTTCTATTACTTCACTTCATTTCAGTGGGAAATGTCGTACTCTACTGCAGTTTTTCTAAAGCTACAGTTACTTGTTACTTCGAATATAATTCACAAAAGCTGGGAAGGAAGGGATGTTTCACCTATTCAGAAGAATTTCACAAGGCTTGGAAAGATGGTCTATTAACATACAAAAAATTCCTCCATGATGCCAGAACCTCCTATTCATCATTGATAGATGACAACAAGCACAAGCCCAGGTTTCTGTTCAGCACTGTAGCCAGGATGACAGACAGTCATAGCTCTATTGGGCTGAATATTCCTTTAGCCCTCAGAAGTAATAACTTCATGAGCTTCTTTACAAATAAGATTGTGAATATTAGAGAAAAAATTCTACCTCCTTCCCACAATTGTAATTTGTGTCCAGTATAGTAGCCTTGAAATCAACTGTGACGCCTGATTTATATTTAGACTGTATCTCTCCTATAGATCTCTCTGAGCTAACTTCAACAGTTTCTTCATCCAAACCACCCACTTGTCTTCTAGACCCTCTTCCAACCGGACTGATCAAGGATGTTTTTCCTTTAATCAACACGTCTATATTACATCTGATCAACTTGTCTTTATTAATGTTATAAATAGCAGTTATGTAGCACAGGCTTTTAAGGCTGCAGCAACATCTACTTAAAAATCCTGCTCTTGATCCAGAGAGTTTAGCCAATTACAGACTTTTTCCAGCCTCCCGTGGAACATGTCATTGGCATCACAGGAACCGCACTGGACTGGATTAAGCCATATTTATCAGATAAATTTCAGTTTGTTCATGTTAACAATGATTCACCGCTACAAAGTCCAGTGAAAGCTGCCACTTAACACACAACAAGAAGCACAACTGAAAGTTACCCTGTGTACACAACGCCAACAAAAAGCGATCCAACCACACCCTTAGCCCACGCTGGCGATGCCATGACCTGCCCCACAGCAAAGGTGGCTGTTAGCTAGCCATAGCAATTATTAGCCAAACAAAGTCATAATATTGGTAACAGCGAGAAAACTAACGTTATCATGCCTACTGTAGGCGGCCACTAACGAAAACAGAAATGTAACAATATGTTGCCATTAAGTTACTTACCATCAAGGAGAAGAAAAACCATTTCCGAGTCAAGGTGGAGCCCTTTAGCCGCTCTTAGGGGCTCTCCTCTCGGTAAAGCCAGAGCAGCATGAATTGGCGGAGCCGGTAACTTTTAAAACTTTATGGAGGTTTTGATAGTCCACCGGCTGGCCGAGATCTGAGCTGGTGATTCCCATGGCAAGTCCACCTGTGGTCTGGTCCAATCCTTTTCTTTGTCAGGGTCTTTTTAGACAAAAACGTGGTTTCTTTAGTGTGGGAGATTCTGGACAGTAACATTCACCTGAACGCCACATTCTGCACTGTGTCATCTCGCCTGTGGGCAGTGCCTGTGTGTTCACGAAACTTTGTGAGGACCACAGGAGGGAGTCTCATGCACTAACATGCACGCATACACCCACGGACACGTACATGCTGCCAGACCAGATACCAACACAATAAACAGAGAAGATGGATTACAACCAATTGCCACTTGATTACAACAGGTATAGTGCTGGTGTGGTTTTCTGCCCAGGACGCCATTACTCCACTATATCTTTATAAAAATAGTTTGCTGCTATATTATTGCTTAAAATCTTATTTTACCCTGGCAACATTTGCAACTGATTGGATAACTGTCAAAATAATTGCCAACCAAGTTTTATTTCACTTGATTAATAATTTTTATTGATGTAAATTGTTGCAGCAACATAAAATATGTTCTGTATGAGTACTTTTACTTATGGGTCTTAGAAACTAATAATTTTTACGTAAGTAGAATGTTGAATGTACGATTTGTAAGGGAATATTTCAATGATGATACATAATAATATAAATAATGCATGATGTACTTCTTTCAGCTGTACCTTTAAGACTTGAACCATGGGACGGGAAGCGGGATTCAAACATGTAGCTCCGCCTCTTCTGCTTGACATTCCGGAAACAGAAACTAAACATCAGTCAAAACAAAATGGGAGCATCGTTGGACACTCCGGCGAGGTGTCCCCTGTGCAACGAGTTGACCCGGGAGCCCGTTACTCTGAAGTGCAACCACCGATTCTGTCGACGATGTATCGGAGACTTGTGGAGCATAACGCCGGACGGGCCGTTCCATTGTCCGGAGTGGAGGTGTAAAACTGTGTACCAGACTCTGCCGTTTGACCGCAGCTTTATACGGCCGCCCGCCCCGAGTCGACGAGCTCAGCCTCGCAGCACTGCAGGTACAGCCAAAACTGGGTTAGAGTTGTGCGTTTAACCGCTCCGTTAAAAATAGCTGTTTATTAAGTCGCCCAATACACAGTACAATAGATGAAGGTGTGACTGGAAGGTAACCTTAGCTAATTTATCTAACTTCCGGCAGGTATCCCCTGAACAGGCTGATACTTAATTTTCGTATAATGTTATTATACACATAGCTGCAAGCACGCATCATTCTTTAGCTACTTTTGCACTCTAATTAATAATAAGCCGGATTTCCTAAACAGGAAATACAACCCCGGTGAAAGAAGATTCTTTGCTTAACTAAATGTAATATTTAAGTAAAGATCAAACTTGAGTAAAAGTACAAAAATAGTTTTAGCAACATGTACTTCAAGGATCAAAAGTACTGGATTTGCCAAAAAAATGGGTGCCATGACTGATACTTATGTTGTTATTGTTATTATTAGGTCGTTAATACTGACGGAAGTGTAAGCAGCACCTCAGTGTTGGAGTTAGTCAAGATAGAGCTAGTTTTACCTGCTTTATTCTAGAGCTGCAGCAATTTGACTGGTGGAACAACAGAAAACTAATTGGCAAATATTTTTCATTTTTTTCTATTTTCTAAGCAAAATACCAAACATATGAGAAGCTTTAAATAACTGAGGAGGTGGTGCTTCTCTTTGCATGACGGTAAAGTGAATATCTTTGGACTGTTGGTCAGACAAAACAAGACATCTTAAGGCATTACCTTGGTCTGTGCGAAATTGTAACAGGTATTTTTCATTATTGTCTGATATTTTATAAACAAAATGAACAATTGATCGACCATAGAAAATGACTGTAACATTAATCAATAATGAAAATCATTAGTTCCAGCCCTATTTTACTCTCTTCGATGGACCTACTAACATTTGATAGACATGTGAAATATGACATCTGAATAAGATGTATGAAATATCATAATTGAAATACCCAAGTACCTAAAAATTTGATTTAAATACAGTAATTGAGTAAATGTACCTAGCTATTTCTCCCAGTTTCACACAACAGGAAGTGAAATCACATCTTCAAAATATCATTAGCTCTTGTGTGATTCAATGGTAATCTTGCTCCATGTTTGTTGACACTGACCGGGGCCAGAGTGGCTCAATAGCCATTTTTAGGCCAAATTTCTTCTTTAGCAGATAGTCATTGAGGGTAAAAGTCTAACTCATTTTTGATGTATTCTTTAGTATGTGCCAGTGCAGTTTTCCTGTGTTTGCCATAAATCACTGTGATTTTTAAGACTTTTCCCATCTCCACATTATGTAATTTGTATTTCACTGCTTCTGACTGATGCCACAAGGATTCAAGCAGCGACTTTAAATCACAATTGCTCTGAAAGCTGCAAGTGTTGGTCTTTTTAAGTTTATTATCGATCGTAAAGATGCACCGATATGATATTCAGGATCGGTGTCTGTGTTTATACAGATTTTTTTGAGTGGACCAGGTAGCGGCCATAACATGAACAAACCACAGTAAATACAGTGTCTTTGTCAAATGTCATCAATGAAAGGAAGCACCAGCAGTTACATAAATCAAGTCATGGCGTCTGAGTGAACGTACAAGGCAATACAATGGCTTCAGGAAGTGCAAGTGAGCTACACAGTCACTGCTTGAATTGCTTAAAGTGGAACTGCTTAATAGGCATTAAAAGTTTAGTGCATTTGTTTTGGGCAATAGGCAGCTTGTGGGAGTTTATGTAAAAGTGCTAAATCAACCTACTCTATTTTTCTTTAGCCACATCCAGTAACGATGAAGAAAACAGATCTGACTCGACATTGAGGAGACCCTCACTCACCAGCAGACTCCTTGGGAAGAGAAAGGCCAGCACACCTGCACCAGAACAACCTGACACAAAGCGATCAACTGTGGAATCTCCCCGTGAGCAGCCCAGTGACGCAGAGACTCCCACCACTTCCTTCTCAGATAAACCTGGGCAGTCGACAGGTGTGGAGACATTCAAGAAAGCATTGCACCCAGAATCTACACAGTCTGAGCGTGGTGATGGCACATCCTCCAGTGACAAGTCTGACAACAAGGCAGTACCTGCGAGTGATGTGCCACAAGACATCTCAGTCCAGCAGAGCCAGCATAAACCAGAAGAAATCACATTGGATGACTCTGACAGCTCAGATGAAGTAGATATATGTGATGCACCTCCTCTTGCAACACCCAGGAAAGACACACAAGTGACAGGAATTCATGCCTCACCAACAAAATCTGCCTCACCTGCCAAATATGATTTCTTTCCTGGTGAAAAGTCTCCAGTACATAACGTCAAGTCACCTCTGATACTCACCAAACATCCTGCCGCTGCTCCAGGATCCTCTAGCCTTGGCGTCTTTTCCAGGCCAGAAAACAAAAATGCCAGCCCTGTGCCCTGCCATTATTGCCCTAAAACTGGGTATCAGTCTGCTGTGAAGACTTGCCTGGTGTGCGGAGCTTCCATGTGTACAGAGCACCTGCGTCCCCACCTGGACTCCCCCGTGTTTCAGAATCACACCCTGGTTCCTCCCATGGAGGACATTTCTCCCTGGAGGTGCCAGGAGCACCAGGAGATAAACAGAATCTTCTGTCGCCAGTGTGGAGTGTGTGTGTGCACGGTGTGTACCGTCATAGGCTCCCACCGTGACCATGTGTGCATCAGCATCAGGGAGGCAGAGAGAGAGCTCAGGGTGAGTGGTGAATTATAGAGCCATACATACTGTAAGATACATAGTTGTTGTGGTTAAAGTTGAGATGCATCTAAACCTAGCCATAGCAATAAATCATTGTTTTTTCTCTGTATGCCTTTTTCCAAGGGGAACCTGAAAGAAGAGATCAAACAACTGCAGGATGCTGAACAGCAAGTGAAGAACAGAGTGACTGAATTTATGCAGAAGAAAGAGACCTCCACAGTAAGAGAATGAACTCTCCTGTTCTCTCTAATTAATGCTCATATTTACACAAACTGCTCAGTAAAACAGGATAAGATATATTCTTACTTTGGCTCAAGGTGATACTGTATGTATGTTATTAGATGTGCAGACTTATCTGCATGTTTTTGAAGTCAAAGAAAGTCACAGTGAGCATCAGGAAGTTATAACATTGTATTGAAATTTTAGTTTTTTAAGCAGATATAATCAGCTACAAATGGTTTACAGTTTTCACCAGTCATGTGTGAGACACATTCAGTTTCATGTCACACGGGTCATTTTGTCAAAAATACAACACACAATTCTCTGAAGAAAAACACAACATCGTGTAGTTCAATTTAGGCCGAAAATACACACATACATGTAAAACGGTTTTGTATGCAGTGCACAATACTAAAGTTTACATTACATACCATATATTCATTTGGCAGAGGTGTTTCATCAGTATGTGATGTTCACCCCAGAGTTGAGGATGTTTGTTTGAATTTCCCTGTGGTGTATTGCATTATTGGCCCAAACCATGTTTACATTATCTCTTGTATGTTCCTCTAAGAATAATGGCCCCTTCCCTCTTAACGTAGTTGACCCTCACTCATATGTAGACAAATCAAAATACATCTTAAATCCCACAGGACAACGTACAAGGCATTGTTTCAAACATTGGCACTAAAAAATACTGATGTAGTTGCTACGTTGTACAGATTTTTCTGTTGACAGCAGAGGAAGTTGTTTTTCATATATGTTCTTGTTGAAATGTCCACATTGCTGTTGAAACAGTGTATCTGCTGAGGTTGGGCTGAACCCTCCGGCCATCCTCTCTCTATGTGAACCCCATGGTTTACAACATGGTCAACCAATATTGCTCACACTCCTCACTCTCCCTCTCCCTCTTCCTCTCCCTCTTACTGCAACGCTGCCGTCCAACGTTTGTTGAAGACAGGAAAACTCACCTGTTGACAGCCTTGTTTGATCACTTGGTTCATAGGTGTGGTACAAGGCAGTACTTTGAAATGGCAAATAAGCGAAAAGTTAGATTTCTGTGTGTATTGTAGAGAAGTGTGTTTAGTGTGAGGGAGGCTGAGACATTGCGTATAGTTTGGTTTCGCTCCTTGAGTGTCAGGTTTCATTAACTGTGTTATTTTTAATTTTACTGTGCAAGCAATCGTAAAGAACTGTATTACACAAATTCCAGATTTCTAATCATCCTTAATAACAATATTAGCACTCTTTAAGTGTTTAAAGTTGATGTTTAAAGTTCACAAAGCTTGAAAAAAAAAACATAATCTTAAATTCAGATTTCTAATTAATTTTTTGTTGGTTGCATGGTAGACTAGTGATTGGACTTCAGAGTCCTCTAACTGCAATGACAGATGAGAAAAATATAACATTACATGACACTGACTTACAGTTTGTCTGTCCAGGTGCTTTTAAGTGAGTCACGAGAAGGAGTGCAGCAGCAGTACAGAGCCATCAGAGAGGCCCTGGAGCAGGAGGAGCAATCAGCTCTGGAGTGTGTGATAAAGGAGGAGAGCAGGGTTCTGGGTGGACTAGAGGAGAAACTCAGCCACCTCCGGAGCTCCCTGCTGTCCATCCAGCAAGGCCTCCACACTCTGGAGGGACTAGCTGATGCCAAGGGAGATAAACGCATACAGGAGCAGGCCTTCATTATGGTGAGTTAAGTGTTAGGAGGAAAAAACCTCCTTGTTTGTTTGTAAAATATATAAGATATACTGTTGGCTTATGAAAACTAACCCACAGAAAATGTCTTTTCCCTCTTTCTCACATGACAGGAGTACAGCAAAGTCACCCATCTGTAAGTGATTCTCTTTCAACTTCTACCTCGTTGCATGGAAAGCAGCAATTTGTTGAACATGTCAATAACTAAATGTGCTACCAACAGAGCATACATACATAACAGTTTTAAAGTGCTGATTCATCCTAATTAGCACACAAGAACATTAAAAAAATCTGTAGCAATGTTTCTTTCCAGAGACAGTGCCCCTGTTTAATCCACAGACCTTTTGCTGTGACCAGTTTTTTTTTTTTTACCTGTAAAAGAGATCAATGAAGATGTTATGTTGACATGCATATCACTAATAACAGCTGCAGCCAGTTGTGGTAGATGTGTAATGTGGGTACAGTTCTGTGTGGCCATTTTTCACAAGCTTTATCCAATCTTGCTAAGTTTGCTAAAATAATAATGGCTAACTAATTATAAGTAACTACTTAATATTTACCAGAGTGTGCTTGTTTGCTCATTTGTATATTTGTTAATATATATTTAAAATATAATTTTCTTTATTGTGCCGTATTTAAGTGTTGCTGGTCACTTACTTTGTATCTGTTTGTTTCTTTTTTTGTGTCTGTGTAGCTATGTCAATATACCCTACCTTATGGGGTCATCAGGGAATAAAGAGGTCTAATAGTCTTAAGTATTTATGCTCCCTAAATTCTCTGCTTCTTTTCCCCAGGGCTAGTGTCAGAGGAAACTTTGTGGAGCAGTTCGAGGCTCCAGAGGAAGTGGATCAGGCCCGGCTGAAATGTTTGCAGAGGTGGACAGAGAAGCGGCTGGACACAGTGATCATCACTGTGCCAGGCAAAGACAGAGACCTCTACAGACTGCTCTGTGAGACAAGTGGAATTTTTTTATACCGGCACCTGTTTACTCTCCACTTAATTACTGATGAATCGCATCCAATTAAACCAAAGGACTAAATGCATCCTGTACGCTTAAAGGTGCTATATTCAGTTAGTCTTAATGTTCTGATATAAGAAATTCTTTTATTTCTTATTTCCTTTTCTGTGTACAGATGGTACTGTCCCCGTCTTGGATGCAGATACAGCCCATTCCAAGCTGCAGCTGTCTGAGAGCAACAGGAGAGTGACCTACAGCGAGGCTCAGCAGTTCTACACAGAGCACGACGCTCGCTTCAGCTCCTTCCCACAAGTCCTTGCCTCCTGTGCCCTGGAGGGGGGCCGCTGGTACTGGGAGGTGAACGTGTCTGTGGAGGACGGCCGCTGGAAGGTGGGGCTGAGTGAGGGACAGATTGAGAGGAAGGGCCAAAAGGACAACTCTCGTCTGGGCTTCAACAGCTACTCCTGGTGCCTCGCCTGTGACAAAAGGAAGGTGGAAGCTCTGCATAACAAAGTGTCAGTTCCTGTGGATGCCGACATGCTGCAGAAGGTGGGAGTGTTCCTCGACTTTGAAGAGGGTATTTTATCATTCTTTAATGTGACACCAGGGGGCAGTGTAGCTCTAATGCATTCCTATAAGCACAGGTTTACTGACCCTCTTTACCCAGCCCTGTCTGTGTCTAAAACACAGCTGGCCATCTGTGATCTGTTCCAGTCATAAACCAATGCAATACTGACATGTCAGTTCTGCTGTAAAAATACAGAACACATGAAAGTACAGTGCCTTTTTTTGTATGTGAAAACCACTTCTTCATAAAACTGCACCATGTTGTAAAATTCTCGGGAATGATGTCATGCACTGTTTAACGCTGCAAAAATGTGATTTTATATTATGTCATAGAACTGGATTTATCATGCTAGAACTGCTGTTCTCTTTACATTACACCTGTAACATTCCAAACACTGACTGGATATTTTCCATATCAGGATGCTCAGTTTTAAGTTAAGTTTTTACTTTGAGATTGTCAGTGAGCAAATTAGATTTTTAAATTGGTGGCATATGAACAATATTGATCAATAAAAAAAAAAAAAAACGTTTGATAATATTTCCATTTTTAATCTGTGTTAAAAATGTTGGAATTGTTGAGATGTTTGAGACCTTTTTCATCCTCTGGTGAGTCATTGTCCTTCTACAGAAATAAAAGGTCAAAGTTTCAAAAGTCTTGATACTTCCTATTTGCGTTTAAATAGAAACACAGGTGTGTGAGTGGGCGGCGTGTTTTCCCTCAACAGGTGACAGTTGGTGTGCTAACTTTAAACTCTCACTGCCCCCACAGCATGTGAGATTTACTGACAACAAACACTGCCTTTGGCACAAACTCCTTACAGCGTCACAGATCGTTACTGTCGCTAAATTGTCCTCCTCCTTGCAAACTCTGAGGCTCATTTATTCTGACCGGGGGTCTGTGCAGTTGACGTCACTGAGAGGGATCAAAGTGTTTACATTAACTCCTTCTGGATGATTGGTAAAGCAACAGCATGCCAGTGGTTCGGGGACAGCTGGCCATGGATCAAGGTTGATCCAGACCTGTTGACTAATTGAGTAGCTTGAAATCTTCAGGATCTACTGAACGAAATTAACTACAACTGTAAACGACTGAATGAAACTCGTTCGCTACAGCTCAGGGGAATAGAGCTTTGTAAATAGCGAGGTCTAATCACCACCTACAGTTATTCTTTCATACTTTAGTCATTTGTTTTGCCAAAATGTCTGCTTCCCCTTGTGATAGACTTTTATTTGGCATAATTTCAGACACTTGAGAAACTTGAATCCACGCAGGTGCACCAGTTAACCATGGCAACAATTTCACACTTTCAGCCACATGATCCAAAGGTAGTGAGAAACCCTCTTTGGGGCTTTGCTTTTTTTTCTCTCCCTTTCCCAGCTGGCACATGAAGGCAGGATGCAATATCTGAGAGGGAGAGAGGAGGAGGGGGCTTTAACAGTCAGGATAATTAAATTCTCCTCTCCCTGTCCATCCAATGGTCTCTCAAACTCAGCCAAGCTCATACAAGCTTTTCCAGACTTGTTACCATTAAATGAGATGAGCTAAGGGCGTATACTGTATTGGCAGGGAGCAGTGTGCCAGATAGTTAATAAGGAATAAAATGTATGTTATATTGAAAGCTCTAGGCGGCTTCATTGGCTACTAATGAGCTGTCACTAAACCAAGGTACAAGAGGTCTTCATTAGTAATCCCAGGAGCCTCCTATATGCTGAAGGTAACAGCCAAAGCGTCTGCTTGTCAAAATGTCTTCACATAATAAGATACCCTTGCCTACTTTTGGTTGCTGTGGTGAAATGCACTTGGGTATTTATGTCTCAGAGGAGTATGCAAAGAATCAAATCCCTAAATTACCACTTCAGTGGCGTGGTAGTGTAGACTGATAAATTACTCAGTGGATGTGGCCTTGTCAAGCAGCTGAAAAGCTGCTGAATTCTGATGACGGTAAGCTTAACTTGATTTATGGTAATCTATTGCTCCTTTCCACTCATGCTCTCAGAGGCAAATAAAGAGAAATCAAGAGCAGATTGGGAGGAAAAGGCCAGTCAATAGAGGGTGCTATTTGCTTTTAAAATCAATACTTAATTAAAAGGAATCTAGACTCGGCCGACTTTTGAGAATAGTCTTACATTAATGTCATTTGTTTCTTTCAGGAAATGCCTTTCTTCTCCAGCAGATTCGTAATGACGCAGTACAGTAAGTGGATCTCATTTGCAAAGCTTTCCCAGTCAATGCTCTCCTTTAGATGTCATGCTTTTACCACTCATTGTCAGAAAGGAAAGTGGAATGGCATGAAATTACAGAGGTCAGAGGTTTTCAGACGGATGGTGGGCAGCAATGCTTTCACTTAAACCGTCTTCTTAATGCCACTAAATGTCACTCCTCCTCTGTCCCAGCTTTTTTTATTTTGACCTGTTAGTTAGATTGCTCAGAGGTTAAACATTTCTAGTTCATTATCAGAGGTTGATGTATAGAGCCATTTGATGTGGGCTTCAAATTAAAAGGCTCTTTCTGTCTTTTGTGGGAGTGATAGTAAGTGCACAGCACAGATTGCTTTTTTCTCCTGGGCTGGGAATAGTAGCCAATTCAATTTGCATTCCAAGGGAAAATGTGCCCCGAGTCAGCCGTTAACTCCTGGGTCGAGATCAGTCAAACTCACTGATTGGAGTCATGATAAGTCAATTTAGCATGTAAAATCTTACATTTACAATTCAGAAAGTATCAAACATCTGTGGAGAGATCTGAAAACGGCTGTCCACCAGCGGTCAGCGTCAGACCTGACACAGCTTGAGAGGATCTCACTGGATGAAAACATCCATTCTGTCTGATCAACTGTCTTTCCTAATCTTGGCTGCCGTAAATGACATGTTCTTGCTCTTTTTATAAAACGCAAGCAAAATATGAACCCATTATTTTGCATGAAAATATAAAATATTGCAAAGAAACAACAAATATATATCAATAACTGATAATATAATTTGTAATTTGTAACAATCTCCATTATGTTTGGAAAAAGTTTTAAAGAAATGCTTTAAAAATCATTTATCACTTATATTTTTCATCCAGGTGGTAAAAAGAGTCTTTGAGGATTCTTGTTAAATGACCCTCTGAGTTTTTTAAAGATTAAACACAATTTCTCAAGCAACACAAGGGGAGCATATATCAAACACTGTTGAATTCAAGCATTTACTTCCATGTTGCTCCCACAACATCCTAGCCGGTCAATATCATCTGGAACAGGAGCTGTGAAGTGTGTTGCTTGTGAACAGGGAGCAGAGATGTGACTGCTCACACATGACAAACATGTGAGCTGCCACCATCACCTTCTTTAAGATTCACAGTAGTTTCAGCTGTTTTTAAAACTATTCATTGATTCCTCTTGCAAACATTAGGAGTTTTTTCACAGACCCCTTTCAAATGAGAACTGGATCAGTATCTCGGAGGAGAGCACAGGAGGTCCTCTGTGTGTTCCGCCTTTGCTTTGTTCACGATGACGTAATACTGTCAAAGAATGGGCCTGTTGTTATGTATCCTTCACTATTATCAGCAAATCCTAGCTAGCAACAAAGCAAGCAATGATTTTGTCTCTCTACCAAGTTATGTCAAAGCTTAATTAGCTCATGCCAACTTAATTTATGTCCAAAAAATGAATAAAAACAACTAAAAGAGTCATAGTTTTGAATCTAGTTGTCTAGTAATCTAGTTGTAATCTATTTTCCTTTAATAAAGACAGCAAGTGTGCTTTAAATAGTGAATTTTACTTGTTAAGCCTGCAGAGAAGGGGTCAGTGGTAGATAAAAAGATCGATTTTTGGTGCAATATTCCTTTAAACTCATTGCAGAGCCAGTCACAGTGTTATTACTCTTTTCAATGACACAGCACCATACGTTCTATGAAACACTGTAAGATTGACACAAGCACACTGCCTATGTGCAAGTATGACCAGGTGTTGGCTCGGTCTCTACACAAACCCGTCAAGCCTTGGAGCCATATCTTTTGTTGGCATGGCAACAGTTGGTGAGCTCAGGTGAGCGGGGAGTCTCACGTGTCTCACCCATTCACCTGCCAGGCTTGGCAAGGTCCTGGGAAATCTGAGACAGAAGAAGTGATGGGCCTATTGTTGAGTGACATGCCTATTCTTTCCTTCACCTTTCCCCAGGCTAATCAATCCACTCTCGACTGTGCCACAGAAAATGCCTCATGACTTTCATGAGCAAATCTATCTCTGTATCTGTCCGTCTGCCACAGCTGAATTGATAAAATCCAATTTGACGAAAACCAAATCTCACATATGTCTGTGCTGCTCTCAGGTGATTACAGGTGATTTATTGTATTTTTTTTTTTTACATTCTGCATTTATTCTGTTGAATAAATGCCCCACCCCAACCCCCCACCCCACCCCGCATATTATGCACAGTGTCATTTAAACATCTGATTGGAAGACAGTTGTATCCCTTTGGGTTTTTAATCTTTCTATCTCTAGCTGTTATTTAGTGTTATTTATGTGTCAGCATATTAAGGTTAGGTGGAAATAGCAGCAGCATCTATTTCAAACATCTTCTATTGTCAGCTATAGTGCCTATCTGCCTCCACCTCTTCCTCTTCCTCCTCCTCCTCCTCCTCCAGCCCACATACTGTACCTCCTCCCCATCCCTCTATCTGTCATCTCTCAGAATAGCTGCAGTGTCTTTAGCATTATTTATTTATTTGTCTGAACTATTGCTCTTTTCTATTGGCTTCTTTTCAGGAAGGTCAGAGTGCAGGGTCGATGGCGACTAGGATACAGTGTCTCGTTCAAGGACGTGTTAGCAAAATGAATTCAGGCTCTCATGAGAGTCTGAGCCTTACATACTGTATGGCCAGTTGTTTTATTAGTTTACATCCTTCAGCCTTATTTCTTTTACTTTGAGAGTCCACACAGTGAGGTGCAAATTAGAAATTAGTGTGAGATTCAATTCAAGTCCATCAAAATTAAAATGTGTTGGATGATTTCAACCGACTTTTCTTTTTGAATCTTCACCCATCAATGTCAAAAGGGTTGAATCTCAATTTTTCAATGCAGTGCAACAAATTCTGTATCCATTCAACCTCATCATGTTTTTTCAAACAATAGTACACTCAAATTTCTTCCATCGATTAATATTCATGGATAACCCTAACTAAATTCCAATTCATTTAAGTTGACCTTAAGACACACATCCTCTACTTTATTTTCCTATTGTGCTAAAAAAAATTCTTTGAAGTTCTTTGAAAAAACATACAATGCTCTACCCTTAATACCCTCTTTAAGTGCCAAATTTAGAAATCAATAATGTAACTTCTCTAATTCTCCCCCTCTCTTGACAAAGATACCATCTCAGTTCACATATGTATTTATCTAAGGGAAGAGACTGGATTTGGAAAGAAACCTAAGAAGAAAGGCAATAGCTGGAGAGGTTTGTTGAATAAAGCAGAATAAAAACAGCACTCAGGAGAAATACCAGCTTCCAAATTGAGCACTTTTCTTTTGAGACTGGGAAAAAAACTATTAAACCTATTATAGCAGTGAAGGTAGTAGGGCTTTATACTCCTTGGAGGATGGCTACCACTCTACTGCTGGAGTCATAGATCTATAACACAAAATAGAAACACA